AACTTTAACTGAAACAATATGATAAATTAGGTTGACTGACGATGCACTGTAAAATAATTTGTATCTCTAACTTTAACTGATATAGTAAATATAAATACTATCTAAAAGTATATGACTGCGAGGGGCGGAGCCAAGTGGCTCATCACACTCAAGCTAACCACAACCATGATTCGCGATTCATGAACGCGGCTGGAGGTCGTGGTTCGCAGGAGGCACCCAAACGAAATAAAAGAAAACCAAAGGAATCGACACAAACCTTTACACATCATTCAATATTGTGGCCAAAGCTTTTTATTACGGTTTGGTAGCTCAAGAGGCGCTACGTGTATTTGAGAGGATACATTCTTCATGCCCACAAATATTACATACATTGTGCGTAATATTTGTATGTGAGAAAGAGAGGTGAGGGGTGCGGACACTTAGCCTTGATAGGACGGGACTGAAACAGCAGAACACTTGCTCTTTGCTTTGCCTAGCGAATCCAGGTCACCCCTATCCTCTTCCCCCATTGCTTAACCATGTCCAGGTTGTTTGCCACCGTTCAGGGCAAGAAGGGAGTGATCTCTCCGTGCCAGGTCTGGTGAGGCGACATCGCTTTTGTTGTTAGCTGTACATGAAGGGACGATGACGGGGAAAAAGATAATGCAGATTATCATGCAGCAGCAACGGCAGGATAGAGAGAAGACGTGACTGACATAATATATATTAAAATTTTCTTATGATTACTAGTACGTTGATACTTATGAAGAAAATAATAACATCTACAGATACAATAAAGATATTTTGATAACGGTTATGATGTTATGGTAATTATTTTGATAATACTATATCGCCACCTGACATCCACAATATCAGCAATAACATCTTATTGGAATAATGATAACGTTGATGGCGATAATAGAAACTAATGTTCGTGTCACAAATAATTGTGTTGATAATGAGAATGATGCTAATTGTAACATTGATGATAACAGTAATGGAAATAAAGTTAGGAGTAATTATTGTCAGTATATTACCAGTATGATACCAGCAATGGCAATGATAATGATGATAATGATAATCGTAACGATAATAGAAATAATAAGGATAGTGATAATACTACTATTATAATTACTACTTATGATAATAATGATAATACTATTGACAATAATAATGATCATTGTAACGATAATGAAAATAATCAATGATAATAATAATGATAATAATACAAATACAAATACAAACAATGATGATGATAACACTAATAATTATCATGATAATGGTAATAATGACAATAATAATAGTTACAATAATGTTAAAGATAGAATAAGCGATGGTGATAATGATTATGATAAGATACTAGAATGATAATAAAGATGATAACATTTATAATAATGATAATGATACAACAATGATAATATTAATGATGCCAAAATCATAAGCATATCAATAATAATAATGGTAATAACAACAAATATGATAATATTAGTAAAAGTAATAATGATAATAATAATAATCGCAAATGAATAATTGCAACAGTAATAACATGACAATAACAACCACCATCTTAACAGTAGTATTGATAACGTCAATATAAAAAAATGCCATGTAATGAGACAGCTGAAGCACACTACAAAAAAACAAACGTAATATAATGAAAAAAAGTGATGGTCATCAAGACATTCAGTGAGGACTTTATTTTCTTTCCGACTGTTCAGGCTTTTTCTTGAAGATCTTCATGTTTGGGTTCAGCCTCTTTCTTCTGGAGGAAGATATCGCACACCCTAGAAAAAAAGAATTATTATTTATGACGTAGAATGTCCAAAATAAATTAAATGAAACTGAAGAAGGTAGCTGTGTATTGCCATCGTGTGTTTATCTGTTGTATAATCACTTGATAAAGGTCTTCATCGGTCATTTCAGTATCTCGGTGAAAGATACGACATACTACGGATTTTTGTGATAAGATGTCGATCACGTGCTATGATAAATTCATATCTTTGTTTATGTCAGTCACTGCTATCAATGTGTTTCTTAGTGTTTCGGTCTCCGCTCGCGTAAGACACACTGGTCTTGCTGTTATCTTAATGGTCGTCTTACCCGATTCCTAAGACGGCCAGGAACATGAACAGGGCCGCCAGGAGGAACTGCGCCATGGGGAGGCTGTCCACCGAAGAGCTGTACACCGCTGCGTACAGAGGGCCTGCCAGCCCGGTGGCGATGGAGTCCAGGACTGCCTGCGCCGCGAAGAGCTTTCCTGAGGGAGGCCGGGGTTGTGTTAGTTCGTGGGCGAGGGTTATGCTGGTGGCTGTCTTTCATGTTCCCTCTCCTTTTTCTTTGTTTCTCCCTCTCTCTCTCTCTCCTTCCTCTAACTCTATCTCCTCCCCTTTTTCTGTCTCACTCTCCTCTTCCGTCATACTTTTCTTTTTCCTTCGCTAAAACCCCGTAACTCACCAAGTTCTCTGCTTCCATCGGAACACTTGGACATGATGGAGCGCGAGGCCAGGTGCGCGAACAGCTCCAGCATCCCGAGCAAAGGCCCTGTAAACGAATTGGCGCTTAGAGGGACCTCGTCAACAACACTTCCACACACACACGTAAATCAGGACCGCACCCTGCCGTTGAGTCCGAACCTGGCTACTGACTCCCCACAATTGCATGAAATCCTCTCCCGTATAACACGAGTTCTAAGACCTTCGCAGGACTCACCGAGTAGCGCGACCCACGCCATGGAGGGGCTGACGATCTGTCCGAGGGCGATCTGCATGAAGGCGACGGAGCTGCAGCCGAGCAACCCGAGGGCGCTGTCGGGGAGCCTCAGGCGGCCCACGAAGACGGGCATCAGCAACACGAGCGCTGAGGACATGGGGTGGTTATACTTGGCTACCTGTTTTTTTTTCTTATTTTTTCCCCTTCTTTCTGTTTTTGTTTGTCTCTTTCCATATACTTTGTCTATCTGCTTTTGTCTTTCACCTCTAATCTGTTTGTTTTTGTCGTTTTCTTTCTGCTTGTCTCAATTTTTCTTTGTAACTATGTGTATTTTGTTCTTATTATATACTTGTCTGTATTACTCAAAATCATGGGTTTTGATTAAAAGGGAACTTCATATTTAAATACGAATATTAAATTATTTTTTCCCCTAAACATCAAAAATGAAATAATTAGGTTTCAGGGGAAAACATCAATACAAAACTGAATTTATCAGTATCCACACCTTGTCTCTTATTTCACTATTTCATTCTACTCTTATATCTGTTTTAATTGCTCGTCTGTCTATGTGTTTCCATGTCTGTATATGTATTTCTATGTGTGTGTGCCCGAGTGTGAGAGTCTATGTGTGTGCATTCGTTAGCCTCCGGGCTCACTTATCGTTACCCATATATATTATAATCTCGGTACCTACCTATGGCTTTGGTCATGTCCCTGTAGAAGAACCAGTTAGAATAGTCTGTTGCATCCCAGTCGAACATTAACTTGAAGAATAGGAAGTACAGAGGATCTAGAATTAGTAAAAAACAATATTAATGTACCATTTCGTTTGGAATCTGTACAGTTAAAAAATTACATCGTGATTTAATGTAACTATATCATTATGAAAGATAACGGTATCACAGGAAATTATTTTCAGAGGAAGGGTAATGCTCATAACTGAAAAAAACACTTGTACTTTGATTAATTGATATCGCATCTTGCCTTCGGCGAAAAATCTTCAACGTTAGGATAAGATAGGGGCATTTTAAGACCAACTAGGAGGATAAATAGCCAAGCTACGATGGTGAATAATTTCTTACCACAAGAGATATTATCATTAACAGAATTCGCTTATCATTACACAGAAAAACACACATTTCCTTTTTAATGCCAGGCGGAACACCTATGCTAGGAGTCATATGTTCTAGTTCTATTGTAACTTAAGCAACGTCGAGAACTAACACAAGCTTGGCAAATGTCAGGAAAAGGAATATACCCCATGTAGAGAATACATTTCACAACACAACATATGCTATCGTCATATTAAGTCGGGAGGGAAATATTTAAAAAAACAACAACTGCACAAGGAGTTTGATGCACCAGTCGACATTGACAAGAAACATTCAAAGCAGAACACACTATACTCTAGGAGGATTTGCTATCAATGCTTTCGGAGAGGAAGAAAAACAACCAAAAAAGGAATTCACCTGAAGAATCCAACCCCCACAACACATAAAAAAACAGCAGAAGATTAGACAGTCACTTAAAACCCCCTTTGCCAACATACCACAAGACCCAAAGAACACAGACCGACGTACGAGGAACTACGCAACACTCACTCATGGCGAAGAAGATGCATATGTGAGAGAAGAGGATCGAGTAGACGATGCCCCTCCGAGGTCCTTCGTTGCGGTGGACGGCTGCGAGGAGCTCCGCCGGGACTTTGATCAGCCACGAAACCCTGAACTTGGGTCTGTGCTCTTGGGAGCCGAAGGTGGGAAGGGAAAGAGAGGGGATGATGCTGGGGAAAGGGACGAAGGGGAAAGAGAGAGATGACACTGGTGGAAAAGAAAGGAAGAAGGAAGGGGAAAGAGAGATGATGTTGGTGGAATGGAAGCGAGAACGAAGAGGGAAGATAGATGATGCTGGTGGATAAGAAGAGAGGACGAAGGAGAGAGAGATGATGCCGAAGGGGATAGATGATGCTGTGGAAAGGAAGCTGCACAGAGAGATGACCCGAAGCGAGAACGAAGAGGAAGATAGATGATGCCGAGCCGCAAGCGATTTGATGAGATGATACACAATGGTGGAAAAGAAAGGAAGAAGGAAGGGAAAGAGAGATGATGTTGGTGGAATGGAAGCGAGAACGAAGAGGGAAGATAGATGATGCTGGTGGATAAGAAGAGAGGGACGAAGGAGAGAGAGATGATGCTTGATGATGCCATGATGCGAGGGAGGACGAAAGAGAGAGAGAGAGATGACACCGAAAGAGAGATGATGAGATAAGATGATGACACTGATAGATGAGATGACCGATGCTGATGAAAGGGAGAGATGAGTGAGAGAGAGAGAGATGACACTGGTGGAAAAGAAAGGAAGAAGGAAGGGGAAAGAGAGATGATGTTGGTGGAATGGAAGCGAGAACGAAGAGGGAAGATAGATGATGCTGGTGGATAAGAAGGGAGGACAAAGGAGAGAGAGAGATGATACCGGCGGAAAAGAAATGAAGAAGGAAGGGGAAAGAGAGATGATGTTGGTGGATAGGAAAGGAGGACGAAAGGGAAAAAGAAACGATGCTGATGGAAAGGAAGCGGGGACGAAGAAATAAGAAAGATGACGCTGGTTGAAGAGATGACGCTATTGGGAGAACCGGAAGAGCAAAGGAGAAAGATGATACAGGTTGTATGTTTTGTACCACCCGCTTTCTGAATAGAATATTTTATACTGATGTTAATCCTACACTCCCTGTACATTAACACCCCATGTGTTATCATTCCTAACTTCATAAGCCTATGTCACGTGTTAGGTCTGCTTACGACCGAACATTCAATGGATGTTCCTATCAAAACTAGCCAGGGCTCTCTGCTGTGTTCCTCGACAGTCTTCCTGTCTAGTTTATGTCTCCTGAATCCTGGTCATCTTGGATTTACTCGCTTGATCTTAAATTTGTATAAGACAGGATTCACTGAGCCCTAGAAACAGTCTGCACAAGTAGCTTAGTTGTTGCTACCATAATAAACCACATAATCATGATTACTCCGCTCGCTGCTGCCCCTAGTCTATAGCCGCTGAGAATGTCTCGAGACATTCAGGCCTCCTTCCGAACATTCACCGTCGTAGAAATGGCCACTAAATTTGCGCAAGTCCTCGCTGCTGCTCACCACTTCTACAGCTAGTACACAATGACAATGAGAAGGATGGTTGAGGGAAAAATGAGGAGGAAGAGGAAGATGCGGTAAATAATGGTATATATTAATGTGAGGATGGTGATGTAAAGGAAACAAAAATAATCCGCAAAGTAAATAAAAAGAAAACCAACATTCAAAGAAGGAAATGGAAACGAAAAAAGGATGAATCAAGGGAATAAAAATATAATCCAGCGCGATGCAGTGAAATACATAACGAAGAACCACTGACCATTATCACCGAATTTCACAGACTCCGCAGTGAAGACGAGCAGGAGCAGGCAGATACCCAGAATTCCCAGCGCCAGCCCGTACACTGCTACGTACCCACCTAACG